AATAATCCGTATAAACTACGCTATAAACAAAAAATTGTAGGATTACTTACCGAGTGTCACCATTCGACATTGCCATTGCTCAACATTGTTTTCGTCGCGGAACAGCTCAGCAAAGAGCGGCCGATTTCTAACAACTTATTTTTCTGTGAAAACTTCGTAGAACTTCGGAGACATCATTAATATAAATAATTTTAATCGCCGTTGAATAAGAAATGTTTCTTTCACAAGAAATGTATAAAATTACAGTACTGTATTAGACTTACGGTACCTAATTTACATACTGACAGACGATAGTTAGCGTAAAAATCTCCGTAGCGTGGCGCCACGCTAGACGGCGGAAATTATATATTTAATTATAACAAAGTTACAATAAGTTAATATATAATTATATATACAGTACCTAATTTATATATAATTAATATATAATTATATGTACAGTACCTAATTTATATATAATTTATATAATACTGTCCAGACGATAGAAATCTCTCCGTAGCGTGGCGCTACGGATGGCGGGAAAGTAGTTCGGCTGCCCGATGACGTTTTACGTAATTATAGGAGTTTTTTACCTTTTTTTACGGATACCGTCACAAATTTTTTGCAGTTTTATAGGAATTGTAATTATAGGGACTGTAATTACAGGGGGTCGACTGTAATTTTTAATGATACAATAGCCACGATTATTATTATAAAAATTTTCTTTAGGCTTAACATTGATGAAAATTCAATGTAAAGCAACACGCAACGGAGAAAAATTTAAACATGGGATATATTAATATACTATTATTGGGATATACTAATATACTATATTAATAAATTAATAATGTATTTTTTTGTACATAATCGGTTATCCGAAAACTCGATTTTCTGAACAACCCCAGTCCCCAACTGATTCGGATAATCAACGCTCTACTGTACCCGCAAAAACTATTTCATAACAAATAATCTATACCCTTCATACACTAGACTGATCTTCTCTAATGCATAATATACCATCATCCCAGTCAAGATTCACTAAACAAGAAGCATTACAGATGAAACAAAGAAATATCTAAATATATTAATTCTAACTATATAAGAATGGGATAAGGCAACAAAATACAAAGACACTATCATGGAGGGTTGCCTTCCAGAAGAACATTTACAGCAGCATTTCCCAAAATGGGCTTTTGTGGAGACCAACTGAAATTTGAGGGCTCCAGAAATCTTTTAAAACATTTTTAAAGTTAACAAATCATGCTTTATTTGTTTACTTTATAACTATTTTTAAACAAGCAGTTTATTTTAGTTGGCAGTACACCTCAGCATGGTAGTTGTCATTTCCTATTATCACACATCATTCATACAACTGACATTTCACTGAATGATAAAAATGAAAAATATATAATTGTTTATATATATATATATATATTTTAATCATTCAGTAAAATAATAATAAAAAAATAAAACATTAGAGCCTTGATCTTCCACTATCAACTGTACAAATTTAAAGCAAAAGATGCTGATGAGTTGTGAGGGATCTACCAAATAATTCTTGCTTGAGGGTTCACTTTACCAAGAAATTTGGGAAATGTTAATCTGTGGGATACTGGCTTCTTCAGAGGTTGAGTCAGTTAATCCCGGACAATTTGTTATGCAAATATGAATCAAATTAAATATGCATGTTAGAATCAGCCAAAATTTTGTAATATTTTTTGGCAATTTTGTTGTTAACCCTTCGGTGGGTGCTTCCGCGGCAAATTGCCGCAAAATAATAATAAATTCGTTTGTTTGACGTTGTACTTAATTATTGTGGAAATATGTCATAGTATTCTCTCTTCATATTACAAGTTACAATTTATCTTTGAAATCGGGTCAGTTATGCTAACCGTTTAGCTGTTACTGGACTTTGAATCAGGTCGTACCTAATTTGCGTTGTAACTGCCGCTACGCGCCTTGTCATGTAACTAAAATATCAGTATACATTTATATATATGTGTTTAATTNGACATAGCCAAAGACTGCAGCGCCACAGCACTGGCAAAAATTTAAATTTGCCGACTGGAATTCTTTCAGATGACTGATGTTTCGGATGATTGACTTTCGGATAATCGATGCTCTACTGTATATAGAAGAAGCTAAAACATCTTCACACTTTTCATGTCCAATCACCAGTAGTCTTCCTTTACAGACAATAGAAAGGTTGTGGCTGAAGTTTTCGTCTCTAAAATGTGAACTTTGAACACCTAACACCGCCATCTTAGAAGCCTAGAAATTTGACAATGACATTCAGAACATTGAGCATGATGAGTAGAAGTTCAGTTTAAATGTCTGCACTTTTCTGTGTTTTGGGTTGAAATTATGACACATTTTATTAAAATAACAATTATTTAAGTATTCATGAATAACATTGCAAAAAAGCAGATAATTTTAATCCAGAAATTATTTAGTTATTAAATTTATTTGAAAGTAATATGAAGAGTCTATAGAATTTTTATAGTTGTGTTCATAACAGCTTATCATAATACTGTAGAAATAGGTTTTTTTCTTTCATGGCATCATCTACCATCAACAGCATAATTCATTTGTAATTTCTAGAAATAATTTCCTAAGCTTCTTTCGAATTGTCATCTCCATATGGATTTATAGCAACCACTTCCCTCAATAAAAATATGGTAGGAATCACAACACTAATTAAAAAGTCAAATATAATTATTTAGTGTTATTAAACATCCTATAAATATTTTAAAATAGTTTAATTTGTTTTTTACTTTCATTGGTCACCTTCGTCATTCTTCAGTGTACCCGCCATTTTACAATCTCATGATACACTGCGTGATATAAATGTATACTGTAATGTGTTTTACTTAAAGTTCAGATGTCAGATATGTACTTCTGCTTGCCATACATCGACTCAGGCTGCAACCTTTATATTAGCACAAACAGTCTTCCTTTACAGAGATGACCTTTTATTATAATGTTTTAGTTTCTTCTATATATTTTTAATGTAAATAATATTGCCAGCCATTTTAATGGGAAAACAGTATAATAGTGATAAACAGAACCTAGCAAAATAATTGTTCTAACAGAACAAGAAGTGCAAAGACACAATAAATAAACTTGTTGATGAAACAATATGTCTATTTTGTAATAATATTAATTAAAAGCAGACAAAATGACATTCATTTTCTGTCATTAGAAATTATAAGTAATTACTGCAGCCAAAAAACACTGATTCTTTAATTTTTGTAAATGTAAAAAACTAGGATTTCAGGGAATACTATACCTTAATCAATAACAAAGTGTAAATTCATGAAAATGTGGAATAAATCAGGTAAATAAATGATCAGAAAATAAAAATTTGATACAGTTTTACCGTAAGTTTCACAAAGCATATATATATTGTGAAATATATTATTTCCTATATTTATTATATTAGTTGAATAGTTGAATGAGATGTCGAATCAACATGTTTTGATTTTCATTCAAAATGTACTGGTACAGGATGATTCAAAAGTCACAGAAATTTTAAAAAATTAATAACTCACAAACTATTTACAGTATGATGATGCAGTTTTCAGAGAAATGTTTAAAAATAAGTGGGATTATTTTGTGTGTAATAAAAATTTTAGTACCAAAATAGTTACATTTCTTGTCATAGATAAGTTACGCTTGATAAGTTATATAATTTGTGAAGTTGTTATTAGAGCTTACACTAAGAACATTTTTATTTTTTTATTCTTATTTTAACAAATTTACAAATGCTACAGCACCATCTATGGCAAAATGTAACTATTTTGGTATTAAAATTTTTATTACACCTAAAAAACCACTTCTTTTTAAGCATTTCTGTGAAAACCACATTGTCTTACTGTAAATAGTTTGCGAGTTGTTAATTTTTTAAAATTTGTTATTTTTGAATCACCCTGTACAGTCGACCCCCCTATAACATACGTTCCTATAACGACAATTCCTATAACGTAGCAAAAAAATTGTAGAAACTTTCGTATAACGTACCTCCTATAACGTCGTTTCGCGAGAAGATTGATAGAGTCTGGACCAATAGTGGATGAGCAGCCGAACTACTTACCTCCGACCCTGCGCCACGCTACGGAGCGGCTAAATTGAGTTTGCTATCGTCTGTTTAGTATTATATATAAATTATATATAAATTAGGTACTGTACATATAATTATATATTAATTATATATAAATTAGGTACTGTATATATAATTATATATTAACTTAATTTATTGTAACTTTATTATAATTATATATATGCTTTCTGCCGCCTGGCAACACGCTACGGAGATTTTAGGCTAGTAAGTTGAGTTTATTATCGTCTGCACAGTATGTAAATTAGGTACCGTAAGTCTAATACAGCACTAATTTTATACATTTCTTGTGAAAGAAACACTTCTTATTCAACGGCCATAAAAATTATTTATATTAATGATGTCTCCAAAGGTCAAGTTATTTTTCCGCCAAAAATTCGTTATCAGAAATTGCGGCCGTCGTTTCGCGTGCTGTTCCGCGATGAAAACCAGCTTTAAGCAACGGCGTAGTCGAACGGTGTAAGTAATCCTACAATTTTTTGTTTATAGCATAGTTTATACAGATTATTCCCAAAAAATTATACGTATTTTGGAAATGTTGAGTGGAATTAGTCTAGAATCGGTTAATTTTATAGAAGAAAACCTTTCGAACAGCCTTAGTCCGTAAAGTTCCCACCTATCGGGCTGCGATTGGCTCAGGTATTTAATCATTCCTACAACGTAATTTTCAGTTAGCGTGGAACGTATCTAAGCGTTATAGGGGGGTCTACTGTATATATAACTGTAATTCAGATACAATCTTCTAAAAATTTGGAATATGCCATTTAAGTTATTAAAATGAGAAACAAACACAAAATTATGAAAGGAAAAATTTGTAATATTGATTTTAAAATGAACTTCTATTTGAAAACTTTCAAAAGTTCTTACCAGCTAATTTTGTTGTCAATACACGATCGTACTCTTCACGGATCTGATTTTCACGATCTTTCATCATACGTTCACAGATTAAGCCAACTTGTCGGAAAGTAAAAAGTGGCTGATCGCGTCTTGACGGTGCTAAAAGGCCACTTCCAGGACTTACTATATTCGTGCTGGAAGAGTCTGACGAACTCTCTGGTGTGTTAGATCCTCCAGACGAAAAATAAAGTTGTTTTCGTCTTTGTAGCCTTTTCATCTCTTCTCTTATATTTGTGGCTATTTGTTCTGTAAAATACATTTTAACATTAATTTCATATAATAAACTAAAAATGTTCACAAATATATTTTAAACTCAATAAAATCTACATAACTTAATAATTATCTTAAATGTAAGAAATAAATGCTAGAAATTATTAAGTTTAACATAACTATTAAAGGAATGATTTATTATTATAGAAGCATAAAGTTAGAGATAATGTAAAATGGAAGCTACTAAAAAAAATAGCCAATAAATACAAAATTGAACGGTCTTTAGTAAATATAGTTTTCAGAAAAGTTATATTACAGGGGTGGCCATATCTTGTCATGACAGGAGTCATCCTATCAGAAATACAAGAACATCACACACATCCTCTGTAGGAACATCTATTGGGGAGCTACACTTTCTATTTATATTATACTAGCAGACCCCGCCATGTGTTGCAGTGGCTCAAAATGTATCTATTATAAATGTATAACACTTCCCCCGTGGAAGGAAATTTTTCGAAAAATCTCTTTTTAGTGTACATTCTGTTGACGTACCCTATTAAAACGCAAAAAACCACATCTAAAATAGTATAAATAGGAGCAGAGTTCTTTACGGTAAGCCTTAATCCTGTCCATCTCCTCCCAGTGGGGGAATTTCGACATGTATATTATATAAAAACACGTGCTTATTTGAATGCAGCGTTGTGTCAAAATTTTGAAGGAATTGGTAGGAACAAACAAACATTACATTTTTATTTATATAGATAGATAGATAGATAGATGATGATGATCTGCTTTAGTTCATCCTCACAGAAAAGCATAGATGATATCTTTTAATTTATATGAATGTTTAACGGAATAATATACAGCCTATGTCCACCCTGAAGTTCCATTCTAAATATTGGTGAAAGAATTTTTGAAATCGAATGAGTAGTTTTGGAGATTACCCCCTACATACAAACTTACAAACATTACCTCTTTATAATATTAGTATAGATATAGTTAAAAACACTATAATTATCACAGTTCTATAGTAAATATCACTATTACTCAGTGGCATGCCATCTGTGGAAACTGTGGACACGACACTTCCCTTGTATTTTCTAAAATATAAATACGTATTGTGCAATTATTTTTATATTTTAACATACTTTGAATTATTTAAAATTAATGTTTTATTATAACCGCATTATGTATCTTCTTATAAATTGCTATACATGTGAAAAACAACAATAAGATTGCTATTGTATCTTCTAATTCATATATTCATATTCCCAATGGAAGCACTGTATTGTTGAATATGGGATAGTTTCCACAGCAAAAATATTTGAATGGTGCAAAGCAACCAATTATACACATTTGATTTACAGAGCACCAACCTCTCACAGTTTAGCTTGTGGATGCTACACACCAAAATATCATATAACACTTCCAATGATTAGGTTTGTTTATAATTTTATGGAAAAACAGCTTCACTAACATCAAATGCCACTGCATGCCACTGCTGTTACTTTAACTAGTCAGTCTTAAAGTAACAGTAAGCAATCATTTAACTGTGTTTGGTGTTATAAATGTAACCTAAGCTTTTGGTTGCCTGTTCAAGGTAAAGTTGCAATTTACACTTACAATCCCCATGTATATCATACTATATAATAGAAAACTTACAAAAAATATTATAAATGCATAAGTAGTATGTACCAAGTTTATAAAAAGAAACTGTATAAGCATACGGGAGCTGCAATAAGGATCAAGAAGAGCCACAGTTTGGCCACCATGGTAATATTTAAAATAATTAATAATGTTAAAATTACTTTACTACAAAATTGATTTTTCATACTTAACTACAACACTAATTCACTTTAAGACAACATAGTCTATCAAGCAAAGCTGCCCTTAAATCAATGTTACTAGACAAAACATTAATGTCAAACTTGCTAATGGTTTTGCTGATTCTTTATAGTTTCCTCAGTTACATAAAGAATAAATTGAAATAAGATGTTCATAAAATGCAATATGCCTCTTAATTCACTAATAATTTAAGACAATACATTTATTGATATTCTACAATCTATCAAATTTCTGGAATAAATAAAAATGATTTTTATATTTTATTTATATTCTTAGCACTTCAACATTTGTGACCAAATGCAATCCTCAACCTAAATTAAGACTAGGAATATTTAAAAAGCATTTAAACTAACAAAAGTAATATTGCTGACATTATTTCTTTTTATAAAATTCTTATGATTATTACAATTAAAATTTAACAAAAGCTTTATTTTTATTAAATGAGATATTTCTAGAACAATAAATGACATGTATAAACAACAAGAATGAAGCATTACAAGTTGGACTTAGATTTTGGCATCATATTTTTCATGCACAAGTATTTGTTGCACTTGAAATGAATTTGGTTTTTCACCTTTAATGCTTTTCAACTCAAACTGCAATGTTTTTTTAAGTGTAAATCGAACAATAATTGAAAGATTATTGTATTTCATGGCACTATAATTAACTTAACCACTTAATACCGAAGTTATTCTATTTTGTACGACCTTGCAGTCTTAGACTTTTAATTACTTTTAAAATTTTAATATAAACTTTCATAAAATCTGTTTTTGTCTCTTGAATCAAATTCTTGTCAATTTTGCTTTTGTTCTGTTACTTTGTTCTAAATAAAAATAAATTCTCAGATTTTTAAAAATTAACTGTTAACATTTCCTACATTTTCTTGTTGCTTTACAGTGATAAATTCATTGTTTTGTTTCAGAAAAAGTAATATAATATAAATATTTAATTTATTTATGTATACACATATTAAAATGTAAAATATACAAGACACAGCTATTAATGATATATTATAATAATTAATGGATTGAGAAATCAGTTGTTAGCATACTGCCGTGTGTCAAAATACATTAATTTGACATAATGCAGACTCATAACATGGGCTGGCATATTGGATTCCAAGATCCATGTTATATCAAGTTGTAAATGTATATAAATACTGATAAAATTGCTGAAATTCATCACCACCTTTACAGAATATATCTGTTTTCCTCCCTGAAATTGAAGAGTAGCAAAACTGACAAGAACTTATTTAGAAATGAATACAGTAGAGCGTCACGTCAATTATCCTAATGATAATCAACCAAAACGTCGATTAACCAAAAGCGTTCCAGTCAGACTGTGTCCTGCTGAATCGAACGTGTTTGATACTAGATTAACTTCTAAAGTATAATTTTTTTTGTTTTTATATTTTTCAATATATTTATTTTGCTTGTACAAAACAAAGAAATACAGTCGACCCCCCCTATAAGATCATAGATACGTTCCATTCTTTAGGAATCCGATTTCTTACGAGTCCTTCCAATCACAGCCCGACACGTGTCAAGTTTACGGACTACGGCTGATTGAAAGGTTTTCTTCCATAAAATTAATCGATTCTAGACTAATCCGACTCAACATTTCCAAAATACGTATATTTTTT